ACCTGTGTGCACTACCCCTCTGCATTAAAAATGTTCAATTATTCACACGGGTACAGCACACTTGGCAGTGAGGCCAGGCCTCTGGGCTCCTGTTGGCCTGAGTCACCTGGTTCCTCAGGGTTGTTTGATTGTAACGTTTTTTCTAGACACTAGGGGCCTTGGCACACTTGGGAAGCATTCTGTTAGGACAGCGAGGTCACTGGGCTGGTGGTATATACCTCTAAAACATGTAAAGATGAGGTTTTCATTTTTCCTGTTTTGAGGAGCATCTGAGAAGCAAAGCAGCTTTTCTTTGGGGCATGAAAATACTCATGTTAATATAAGCCACATTTGGGAAACACTCAGATGGGGTCTCGTCCACTATCTGTCAATTGCTGGAAAAGCTCCAGCAATTGAAGGCGAGCTCCATGATTGGAGTTACAATCATGCTCTGAATTTAATCAGCTCAGTGCTGCACTTTAGCAAGTTCCTCATTGTTCTACGTCATGGAGTAGGGATAGTTTACAGGATATTTACAAGTCTATTCCTTCTATTTGGGGAGAGTGCAGCATTTCACTGAAGGAACACCACAGCTAAATAGTTCTAAGCAGAGTCCCCCGTTTCCATTGACAACCTTTTTTGGCTGGACAGAAATCTTCCAGATTTCTTCCACTTAGCTAGCACCCACTTTGCATTTATCCCCAGAGATACGAGGGCCTTCCCCATCTTTGTATAGAAAACCCCTGCACTACAGGAATCTTAAATTCCTCATGCTGACAGTGCAACTTGTGTGTCACCAAAGCCTCTTCTCTCTGGCCACTCGGTCTTTCTTAGACATCACAGACCTCCCAACTCAAAATGTGGCCGGGAATGTCCTCACAACCAGCAGGCTCCCAGAGCTAGAGCACTCAGCAGTTGCCATGGAACTCTTGCACCAGAGCTCTTGCACCTGTTGTGAGCCTCAACCTGGTTTCCAGGCCTCATGGTCCTTGGCCAAGCCCACAGGCATCTATAGACAATGTATCTTCTTTCACAGAAACACAAACTTTGTGATGCTAAAAAAATTCTGATTACTGCTCATCCTTCCCATACTATGCAATGGGCTCCCCCCTCTCTCTCTCTCCTTTCTCTCTTTCTCCCTGCCTCTCTCACTCTCCCTCCTCCCTCCCTCTCTCATACACATACATACACTACACACAATTATATATAGAATTACATGTTACATATAATTGAAAATATTACCACTCCAGTATAAATCAGATCAAGTAAGCGTGATATTCTTGCTGTATGTGCTTAGTAGCCATCCATCCATTTCTTCTTCATACATTTCCTCCCCAGATTGTATCTGGTGCCCACACTGATCACAGGGCAGCATATGAACAACTCTCTCATGCTTTTTGAGATACCTCTCTCTCTTGGTTCTTTCATAGTTGGTGGCAGCGCCATCTTGTAGGATATAAATGCCAAAGCCCTGCCTTCAGCTGCCCTAGTCACATTAGTGGTAGGCCCTTGGTGGCTTTGAGGTAGAAGGCAGTGACCTATAAGGCAGTGTCCATCACGTGACTCTTCACCTGCTTCCTCCCTGACTCTCCACTCACCCTCCCTAGCAGCCTGCTGGAGTAGGACTCTTCCTGGAAGCCTGAAGGTCACTGCCCATGCACCCTGCCATCCTGGCCTTCTCTGGGAAGCACCCACATAGGCTTTGGTGACATGTGCCATGGAGTTCCCCAGAGGATTGCACAGGAACTCTGCAGTTTTTATTCGGGCAGAAAAATGCTTATGACTGCCATGTGTTTCTGTGTCCTGTATGTAGTGTCCTCAGGAAAGCAGTGTCACTTCCCTTTGACTAGGTCCTTTACCTTAGCGGAATCCAGCTGAGTCAGGAATATGCTAAGGGGATCATCCCAACATGTGTTCTTCTGCAGGGTGACTTTTGACCAGCTGTGGGTGCTTCTGGTCTATACACTTCGCTGCAGCCCTGTGTCTTAGCTGTCATGACAGAACACAACAAATTGTTGTCAAGACAACAAATCCCAGTTGTCTCAACAAGCTGTGATTTGCTCCAGGGAGTCTTTAACTATCCTGTCTCAGTTTTTTAAAAATAGAAAAGAAAGAAAAGAAAAGGATGAGCAATAGCAAAATAACCAGAGATTGAGATTTTTGTAGGCTTTATCATGCTTCTGAGATGTAGTCTGATGTAGTCTATGATCTGTCACTATAACATAAATTCCAGAGGCGAGGTAACATATAAAGAATAGAAGTTCATTTAGCGTGTACTTCTGGAGGATGAGAAGTTGAGGGTGCTGTCTGCAGCTGGTAAGTGTCTTCTTGCTTCATCATAACCAACCCGAGGCATTGTGTAGCTAGACAGGGCACTCACTCTAGCCCAGACCTGTCTCCCTCATTTTAGGGAACACTTTGTAATCAGCTTTGCATAACTAAGTGAAATACCCACGGCAAGGAGTTTATAGAGAAGTTTATATTTAGTTCTCACTCTGGGAATTCCAGGCAAAGCGAGGGGGGACTTTGGTGAGAGCAGCCAAGGATAATGATGGGGAGTGTGTCAGAGCAGATTATACGTCAAGTGCTGGGAAGCAGAGAGTAACTGGGAAGATGGAGCCTCACAGTCCTTTCTGAGGGACTACTACCAGCAATCTAAGGACCTCCCTGTAGGTCCTGCCTCGGAACAGATCCTCACCCTAGAACCAAGCCTTCAATAGATGAGCCTTTAGGAAGTATTTACCCAAACCATAGCAAAGTGGGTACAGGCACTGGTAAGTTTGAATATACCCCAAAGGATACATGAGAATTCTAATACTTCATAGCTCAGTATCATTAAACACCGACCTGTGAGCTGCAAACCTCTCCCCCTGTTGCCACACAGATAGGATCTGGTCTCTGAGGGAATGGAATGACTGCTGATTTACAAAGTCTCAAGTCAGAATCTTGTAGGCAAAAGTGTTTTCGAGAATCTCCCACTACAGAATTTCTCAGTGTTACGCATGGGCTGAGTTCAGCCTCAGAGTACAGTTTCATTTCCAGGACCTCAGAGCCCATGCTCTGGTTTGTCCAGCACATCCCATTATTGGTCAGTAAGTCACTTCTATGAAGAGCTCACAGGATAATGGTGGCAATCAGTGGGCATTGGGGACTGCTTTGCTGCATTTGCCTCCCAGCTCTGCCAGTTGCTAGCTATGTGACCATAGCAAGTTCTGTGACTGAACTGTACCTCAACCATGACAAAACACAGGGTGGTAATGGCATGCCCTTGTTGAGTTCTTGTGAGGTTACATGGCATGTGACATTAAAATACCAGAGGTTTATACGAGGTAAGTGTCAAAAACACTGTTGGAATCAGGCAAAGTCTTATGCTTGGAACCACAGTGTGCAGAGTAGAATGTCACTTGCTGTGCCCCAGTCCCTGTCCCAGTTACCTGTTACTTACCTCAGGTCTCTCAGGCTACCCAGGGCTGTGATAGCTCCTGCATTTATGGATGAGTAATCAAGGCATAGAGAAGCTGTCTAAGCTCTCTGTTCCATTAAAAAGGAGCCAGGCCTCCTGTCAGCCAGTGTTCTCTTGGTGTCTGTCTGGACCTCAGATGTCCCAGTCAAGAACAGGATCATCTTGCTGGCTGTGAAGCAGGTCACTGTAAAGTGACTTTGCATCCCCCAAGAGTCCATTGAAACACATGGCTAAATTCACCTCAGGATCTGGGAAGCAGCAGGGCTGGGGAATCCAAAAATACACACTTGAGACATGTTCTTGGATCGTGTCCTGGTTGCTTCTCTGGGGTCCAAACTTTGAGAATTCTTGACTGAAAATGCTGTTCAAAAATTATGTCAATAGGGGCTGCAGGGATGGATCAATGGTTACTAGTAACTGATGCTCTTGCAGAGGACCCAGATTTAGTTCTAAGCTCCCACATTTGGTGGTTCCCAATAGGCTGTTAGCTCTAGTTCCAGACAGTCCAACCCACAAGCCTGTTACATGGTGCACATACATATATGCAGGTGCTCCCATATACACACCAAATAAAAACAAATAATTGTTTCTTAATTATGTCAGATAATCACCACACTGCTTATTTTACTCAAAAAAAATACCTCCCTAACTCTTATGAGCATGTAAAAATATTGAGAGACATTATAACTTTTGATATCACTACAGTTTCTACTGGCCATTGCATGTGAGATGCATCACTGTACTGTTAGTGTTTCAGGAGAATGTATATGCAATATGTTGTATTTTCTTTTTTTAAAAAAAAACGGGTGAATAATAAAACTATGTAACTTATAAAGGGATACAGAGTCAAAAGTGGGTTTTATCTTTGTTAACCTACAATCTTTCTGTTTGAAAAACTCCTACCTGTTACATTCAAAGACTGTTCCAGCTAACCCTTTAGCAGAGGAGGAAGACTTAAAGAGGGACACCTCTACCCTAGGGCACAGGTGAGGCATGCCACTGTAAGATAAAAAGGAAGGCAAACGCAAACAAAATGGAACCTAGAAAAAGGAGTTGGAATCAGAGTTCCAAACAGCAAAGATTTGTTCCAAATTCATTGTGCATTTTTGTACGGGGGGTGTTTTCAGGCCTGAAAACCACTTCTTATGAATTGTGCTGATAATCCCCAGTCCTAGGGAGACTGACATTGTGACCAGATATCCTGTCACTACCTACTGCCAGGTGTTCTTGTGAGCACATTAGATTCAGCTCTAGGTCCCTTGCCATCCCTGTGGTCCCACAAGCCCCCATTGCAATATGATCTCTATAAACAGCCTCTTCCTGCTTGACCTGTACTCCCTGTCCAGACCTGCCTCTGTCCCTGCACCTTCAGTGCATCCTGTAGGCGCCATCCACACTTTCTGAAGGCCTAGTGTATGCCAAGCCAGGCTGCCTGCCCTGAGGTACAGGCCCAGAACTGCTCTGAATGTCTATTTGATGACCTGTTGCTGCTGTGTTGCTATCTTGTGACTTATTTTTTGCCCTGACACTGAGTGGCCTCCTGTGTTGTCTCTTTCAGCCAGTAATGTTAAAGTAGAGACTCAGAGTGATGAAGAGAATGGGCGTGCCTGTGAAATGAATGGGGAAGAATGTGCAGAGGATTTACGAATGCTTGATGCCTCGGGAGAGAAAATGAATGGCTCCCACAGGGACCAAGGCAGCTCGGCTTTGTCAGGAGTTGGAGGCATTCGACTTCCTAACGGAAAACTAAAGTGTGATATCTGTGGGATCATTTGCATCGGGCCCAATGTGCTCATGGTTCACAAGAGAAGTCATACTGGTAAGGCCCGGCGTAGTTTTCCTTTAGTGTCTCAAGAGGTCCTGTGGGTGCTGGAGGAGCAAACTGTACTGTCAAGTGCTGGGGATGCAGCTTAGCAGGAGGGCATCTGCCTAGGCGTGCAAGTCCCTAAGTTCAAAGTGCAAAAGGAATGTGGGAGGGGAGTGTGGTCTTGAAGCCTGTTTCCTATTGGCCAGCAAGGCAACCGCTGCACATAATTGACTCCCAGGTTATACTGAGGCACATCTTTCTTATTCTAGGGCAGTATCTGAAAGGTCTTCTCAGCACATACCTAATCAACCCCATAAACAAAAGAGCAGGTTGCTAGCTTATATGTGCCATCTTCTGAGGGCCTGGTATCCTCACTGAAAAACCTCAGCCACAATGTTGACTTTCGTGTATAAAGCATCCATCCTTCTAGATCAGAAGCTAGAGATGCACCAAAACTGACTTTACCAACTTGCCATTAAGAAACGATAAATAAAATACTTGTTTTGATCATATTGACACTCAGGGCTCTCTGTTCAGAGACATTAGTGGGTGGTGGCCTAGCGGCAAAACATTTTTCAGAAAGGGTGCTGGTCGGCTTGAGATGGCTCGCCCTGCAATCTGAGTCTCTGGATCGGCTCCTATATCACCACAGGTTTTCATCCCAGAGCCGCCAGGAACTGTCTGCCAAACTGCTCTTGTAGGAGAAGGCTTGCAGGAAGCTTGGGGAGAAGACAATGAAATAGTCTGTTCAAAAGTGAATAAATGTGGACTATCCACATTTATTGAACAATGGTTCAAGAGCTGTGCCTACCCCTGCCATTGGCAGTATGGAAAACCTGCCCAGCTTCAGTTGGCTTTGCTACCCCTGTTCCACCTTTCTAGTAGAAACAATCATGTCTGTGAACAGTCACTTTAAAAACAGGAAGAGATTCCCTGTCAGAGTTTGCTCCTGGCTGACTCCACAGTATGTCTTCATATATTGAGAATACACAAAGCCACAGGTAGAAGTAAAAACCCTGTTTAGCCAAGTAGGTTTCAATAACCAGATATGATGGACAGGTTTTATGATGGACAGGTGGAAGGTGTCAGCAAACTCCTGTGTTCTACATTCCTCCACTTACAGCAGGTAGTTAGAATACTTCCCCAGCATGAAAGAAGCTGTGGGCCACTTGAAGTCTTGAGAAAATGCAGGTTCTAATTCAGACCCCAGGAGAATCTGGAGAGCAGGCATTCCTAAGAAGTCCCCAACAACACTGGGTGTGGAACCTGGAGCACAAGTCTCTAGGGACATGTTGTGGAGGAACAGATAATGAGCATCAGTGTGGCCTCTCAGTTATGTGGGATGTGATGCCCCAGTGGATAAACTAGAACATGCACCAGAGCCTCTCTTCCCATACTGCCCATGATCCAGTCATCAAGGCTCATGACTTCCCTGGCCCTTCCCTGGTAGACAGATATCTCAGGGGTGGAGCCCAGTTTCTGCTCCTCTCACAAAGTGAAGTTCCACTGCCACCATTTCCTAAATGGTTTGTGGGCACCAGTTTGTCACTTCCCCTTGGGTGTTCAGTTGACTTCATAGTTGGTTCAAGTGTCACAACCTTGATGTCCCCACCAGCATCTCAGGGTGAGTGTGAGACTCTTCCTGGGGTGGTAGGAAAAGCTGCAGGAAGTGGCCACCACCCATGACTTTATTATTCTGAATAGTATAGACCAAAAAGTGGCCCGAAAAGAACAAAAACTCTGGCTTACTATGGTCTCCAGCCTAACAGGCACTGCCACGGCATGGTAGCTGCACATGTATTCTTGCGTGCCACACTTTTGTAAATCTGCCTTCTGCAGACATGCCCTCAGACATTCTATAAGTTAAAAAAAAAAGAAGAAGAAGACATTATTACCCAAGTACATTATCCAAAAGGTCTCAAACATTGTGCAGAACACCTCTTCATGAAAAGTATGAAGTGCCTGGGATGAAACTTAAATTTAGAATTTTCAATATCTAATTCCTCGTGCCAGTTAAATGTAAGCATATACAAGCTTAGAGAAACTTGAAGTTAGATACAGTATCAAGCTGTTGTCCTTCAGGAAACAGGCTGTGGCCACTAGCAGCAGAGAGAGACATGGCCTGTGTCTTACGATACAGCTCTTTGGACATGTCCCTTTATGTGTAACCCCTCCATTGAGTGGAACACTGTGTGACCCATTTGGGGAATGTGGTCTTATAAGGCTCCCCACCATGGGCTGTACATTCATGCCCACACAAGCAATTAGATAGCAACAGATTTGAGTAAGCCTGCCTTAGCTTGCTTTGTGGCAGGATTAAGATACCAGGCAAGCAATCCCCATGAAGGTGCATTGACTCAAGTGAGAAGGCAGATCTCAGTCCCCTCAGAATGCCCAACCTTCCCTTCCTATAGAAGGACAATTTATCTCCTGAACATTTTTGTTACACGGGCTTTCCCTTATAGACTGAGGGCTTGCCCTCTGAGTTACAACTCTGGTATTAGGCATGTTCCAGTCCCCCCCCCCCCGGGCTTTTCCATTCCATTTCCCCTTTTTTTTTTTT